ACATATACTACATATTTATTATATACATATATATCTTTTTTTATGTGTGTGTGGCCTGCCCGCCGGCCAGGGCCTTTAGTTTTAACGTGATAATTATGTCCACACTTGCAGTCAAAGGTACAGGCCGAGCTGAGCACTTTAATTTGGTGTAGTCATGAAATGAATTGTGGCAAGGGACTGTCGCAGCTCAGCCAAAGGGTGCAACGGCAACAACAGCAGCAGACTGCAAATCGCCCCAAGGCTAAGCACGTATACGTGTCTGTGTATGTGTGTGTTTGTGTGTGTGTGCTACCTTCATACCTAGCCAAATTTAATTACACGGATTTAAAAGCGTAAGGAGAACTGAAGGCAAAGAAATGAAACGAAGGCACAAGCACAAAGCAAAGTGCAAATTAGTGAAACATTGCGCTCAAAAGTATGCAATGCAGCTAGGGCTAAGCCCCTCTCATACGCTGAGAGAGAGCACGTGAGGGCATGTCTTCACGTGTGTGTGTGTGTGTGTGTGTGTGTGTGTGTGTGTGTGACAAGGCGTATTCATTTGTGGCAAAAGCTTTCAAATATATTTGCAAGCTTGTTAGCTTATACGTTGCACCCTCGGCTGTATGTGTGTATGTGTGTGTGAGTGTGTGTGTGTAAGAATTGTCCTGTTGCATGTTATTGAGCCATATTTTTGTGTGTTGTTTGGTTTGCTGTAAAGCAGCGGGAGCGGGACAGACAGATATATGAAACGCCGGCGAGCGAGAGAGAGAGAAAGATGGTGAGGGGGAGGGAGAGAGAGGGAGAGAGAGGGAGTAGCGCAAGCTAACGATATGTAAAGGAATTATAATGGAGGGCTGAGCTCAAAGCATTACACGAAACCAGCAAAGGTTAGGCTAATACGAACCAAGCAGACGCGGTACGTTTACAATTGAATAAAATTATTTAATATAATTATTTATTCAATTAGTTAATTTCCAAATTAGTTCCTATCAATCTTTAGTTTTGAATTAAAACCCTTTTTTAATTTATATTATTTTTAAAAAATAAAAATTTATTTAAAATTTTTCTTAATACATATTTTTCATAGATTAATAACTTAATATTTTGTATTTTTTCAATATTTATTATAATGCAAGAATTTCGTTGACGCTTAAAGCAATTTCTGTATTTTTTTTTCTTATTTTT